ATAGAATAGAATAGAATAGAATAGAATAGAATAGAATAGAATAGAATAGAATTCTTTATTAGCCAACTGTGATAACCAGCACCCAAAGCAAATTGGCAACCAGTGCAACAGAATGTTCCATGGGCATACCATGGCATTCTCATCACTGAATGAACTGATGCATTCTGGACCAATTGAAGCTTCTGGATGGTCTTCAAATGTAGCCCCATATTGAGACATTGCAATAATCAAACCCTAAGGTTACTAGGACATGAGTGATTGTTTAAGGTTAAATCCAGTTTATGAAATATAAATAAAAGAAATTTAGAAACATAAAAGAACATTATATTTTAATTAGTAAATACTGTACAGGCTATTCACATGAGTTCACTAATACAACTTTTGCAATTAAATTTTACTTAAGAATCTTCTATTTGGAAGAATTATCCCTCTTTTTTTAAAACTAGCATATGAATTCATGATCAAACAACATTCTTTCCAGATATCCCTGCAAAAATAAAAAGCATTAAAGCCATTTATGATTATGTTATTCCCATACACTCCAATACTATTAAAGCTTAAAATTACTTATACCTGTAGAGATTCACAATTATTTCAATTACTTATCTTCTGCCAGTTATGAATCACTGAAAACAAAATAAGGTGTTTGACCAAAATGCTTCAGCAACGAAAAACCCATGAATCTGCTATGGGTAAAAATTATACACCTTTAAGTTAAAAATTCATTGTATGACAGAGTTAAACCTGGTTCTGCCAACTGAGGTGGGGGCTCCAATGAGGGCATTCCACTTTGAAGATAGTAGATTAGGAGAAGATTCCACCACCACCACTCCATTTTTGTAATATTCCCTTTTACCTAATCTTATTAATATTAATGTTTTAATTTTTAATCCTGAAGGTTTTATTTTTTTGAAAAACATTCTTATCATTTTATATTGTGTTTTTAAGTTGTAAGCTGCCCAGAGTTGCCTGACTGTGAGATGGGCACCCTATTAAATAAATAAACAAACACATACATGTGGTGGTCTCTCATGGAAAAAAGACACAACGCAAGGTTGTCCCGGGATGAGAGCACAGAGCAAACTCTGAAACCCTCTTTTATTAGAAGCAATCTTTGTTAACGTAGCAATTTTTGTTAGCATCCTATCACAAATGCATTACATCACACAACATGCTCTGATCATTCGCATAAGCATACAAGGCTGCAAAGTTTAGTTTGCTACAGTTCTGGTTAGAAATGGCAACAATTTGTCCTTGCTCCTTGCCTCGTGTTCCAGCCAACCACCAGAAGGCTCCGTTGTCCTAGCACGTACACAAAGAACAAAGAATCATAGTTCCCACATCTCCCCTGTTTTTGTTTTTTCATGCCGACGTAGTCCTCGGTAGGTTTTTGTAGACAATAGGAACTGATCCCTTGAGGGCTTTGTCACGTCTCTACATGTCGTTAGCAGTACAGGGAGACATAGAATACAGCAATAAAGGAAAATGAAACATACAGCAACAATTATAATGCCTATAATCATAGATCGAAGCCAAGCAGAGTTAGGAAGCCAGGACCAAAAGAATGCCCAAAAATCAGAAGGGACCCCATAATTCAGCAAAGGATTCTCTCTAATGGATTCCTCCATGTGTTGTATAGTGGCCATGATGTTAGGGGATGAATCAGTAATATACATGCAGCAGTGTGCATGTATCACAGCACAAACCCCTCCTTGTGCACAACAGCCACAAATCCTGACCGATGATATTTACAGTCTTGTTGTCCTGGGAGAAAATAAGCTGAGCAAGTCCCGAAATCATGTTGCAAAGAAACGGGTTGCCTTCCATGGTTACACTTGTTGGACAGTCATTCTGTATCCAAGGGCAATTCCCAGTGACTAGCGCAACACAGTCATGTGCGCAAATACATTAAGAGTGTTATTTAAAAATGTGTTATTGCGCGTTGTATTCTGTATTGTCAATGTGTAATTACAATGGGGATAACGACCAAGATCTGTTAAATTTCCATGGCTGATGTTATGAGTCCAACATACCCCAGCAGTTTCTTGTATACGGCTGCCCAATGGAATCATGGTCATATTCTCATCCGCAGCTTGTAACACCTGATAACTAGAAAAATCAATGTTCTTCCATTGCGACTCGTTCAAAGGAACAGCTACCAATGGCAATCCTGCGGTTTTATGTGTAGGCATATGCATACATACCCAGCAATCAGTTTTGTTCTCCAATTGAGCAATTTGAGACACATCCTTAACATAAGAGTTTTTTCCCCACATCCCATGGTTCTTCCCTTTACACTTCTGGCTTGTGATAAGGGCGGACATGACGACCAGGAACCCAAACGACTTCATTCTTGTCTTCAACTGCTGCATAGCCACGACCCCAAGTTATCAAAGAAGCTGGCCCCCTCCAAGTGGGGTCAGGTAGTTTTCTGTATAACACCAGTGGCCTCGCGCCTCCTGCAGAAGGGAAAGAAGAAAA